ACCCTGAACCCAAAGCACAGGGATAGTAGTAAGACTTTTCAAACAGGATCTTTCTACTGGGAGGGGTTCCGGTTAATCTTCTAGAACGAGAGCTTTGGGTGGAAGAGTGTGGACCTAGAGATTGTCGATTTGCATCCGGATTTCGCGCGATGCGGATCTCGGCTGCTTTTTCAACCATCTGAGCACCGGATACGATGCGCTCCCGCAGGCGGGTATCCGTCGGCCGCACCGGTTATCCGAGCGCGTATCCTCGGATACCCGCCCTCTAAAGGCGCCGACTGGAAGGGTTTTCTTTCCAGCCGGCCATCTCCCCCTTTTGGCGCGCGGGTATCCTTTGGGATACCCGGATACCCGCCAACTTTTTGCGGAAAAGGGGCCATCCGCACCCGAATCCACACCCGTTGGCGGGTATCCGTTGGCACTGGCGGGTATCCGCCAGCGGATAACGGGTATCCGCGACGGATACCCTTCGACCATCTCTAAGCGGATAACGGGTATCCGCGACGGATACCCTTCGACCATCTCTAGTGGGACCTTTTGGTGCAGGACACCTTCTCTACATTACATACAGTTGCAGATGGCAAAGACCGACCCTGGATTTTGAGAGTGTCCAAACATATTAGTCAAAAATTCAAGATTTTTTTTTTTTCAAAAAAAAAAAAATTCAAACTTTTGAGCCGTCTTTAGCCTCCAGAATGATGGAAACACGCACTAGGATTATGACTGCTTACTGAGACCTGGACCCACTCTTGGATTTGAAGCACATCAAAAAAGCCTTGCAAATCCCATGGTTTTTCTTGGATCTGGAACATCTGTATGTATGCACATACATTGTCATCTTTGGAGATGGCCTGGATTGCAGAAACACTGAACTTGGAGAAACTTTTTGGACAGGTCAGGAAGCCAGGGATAGGCCCAGGTGGTGTAACAGCGCCCCCGAACTTTCAAGAGAAAGGTGCCCACATGTGGTAACATGGGGAAATTTTCCACCAGAAGGATCAAGAGGCCAAGTAGATAGAGGCCGGACTGCAGTCTTTCCCACCAATAAGAGGCTACAGGATTAGGGATGCTTGTCTGGTGCACAAGACAGCCATGATCAAAAAAAATTGTTTCATTGGAAAAAAATATTAAATAAGTGACAATCGTAACTCTTAAATTGTTTTTGACAAATCAAACTGCTCAAATATTCATGCATATGTAGATATTTTACAATGTGTGAGTAATATTTGAATAAAAAGAATCACACGAGAGAAAGTCGAAGAAGAATCACTGGAGGCCATAACATACATACATGTCCATGAGACAGGATTACAAGACGAACTGATTGAGGCCTGAATGGATATCATCATCGTCGTCATCGACACCAGGATCGAGCAGCTCGTTCTTCCATCCAGCCGGTTCGTCGTCCCAATCGTCGTCGAGATCGACGGCCTCGTCTTCGAGTTGCTGGTCGATCTCAAGTTCGTCCAACGCAAGCTCGAACCGGAAGTCCTCCTCCTCCTGATCTTCCGTCTTCCCTGCGACCCGGGCCGGCTCGAGTCTACTTGGGCCTGCCGTTTTCTTCTTCCCCCGGCCTCCCCCCGCACTCTTCGCCTTCCCACTCACAGCACCAGGCCCCACGGGACCACCCACCGCCGGCGTCGTGGCCCGATTCGTCAGCGTTTTCTCCATCAATGTCATCCCGTCCAGGATCTTTCGTACTTTCCTCTCCCGCCGGCGTTCGCGAAGTAACTGTCGTCGGTCCTCGCCGTCAATCGTAAGCCGGTCGTTACATGAGGATGTCAGCACTCTCGAGATCCGATGTCACCTCTCCTCCCCCTCTGGGCCCATCCGTCCCGGTATCATCATCATCGAAGAAGAAGACTGGGGTCATCGGCTCCTCAGGCTCTCCGCCACGCTTCTCGTCCTCTTCCGCGATCTCTCAGCATCTGCCAGTCGATCATCACCCAAGTAGTCAGAATCAATAGTCTGGCTCATCTGGCTGGGTTCGATCGGCCGATACGCTCTGACCAAGACCTTGCGCGTGCCCAATTTGATGGGCTTTGGATCCGGAGCGCCGTCGATCGCTTTGGCCTTCCCCTTATCTTTCCCATCCGACTGAGCCCCACTTGCAGTGGATGTCTTCTTTCCCTTGTCGGCCCCCGTCGTCTCATCGGGCGTGGTGAATGTGAATGTTTCTAACTCGGTGTAGACTGCAGATTGGTCCGGATTGCCAAACGGCAAATTCGGAAGAATCGCCTTCTCCTCACCGGATTCTTCAGAGCCTTCTTCTGATTCATTAGCCATGGCTTCATTTTTCGAACTGTTTGTCTCACGCTTCTTGATCGATAATTGAGCTTTGGTCGTCTTTGTAGTACTATCACCAGTTTTCTTGTTTTGGTTTTTATTGTTAGATCGTTCGACGCGTTTTTTCTTGTTTAGTAAGGATGATCGGTTTTTGGATGGGTCATTAGTTTCGGGGTCTGGGAGATCTTCATAAAAACTAAGATCCTCCTCTCCGGGCATAATCAAGCGTTTGCGTTTAGTTCCAAAGCTGATGTTCTTCTTCTTGCCGGTTTGGCCGGAATCCTTTTGTGCGCATTGAGGGGCTTGATTGTTATTTGATCCGCTACCGGATGGATGACTTTGCGATTGAGAGATGAATGGGGTGGCAGAGTTGATCTTCCATTTGGATTTGATCATCTTTGATGGACTGAGTGAATGATCATCTGACTCAACCTCTGGTTCATCAAACAGAGGTTGAAACACATTGTGCGACGTGGGTTTGAACGGTGATGGGCCTAGAAGTTCGTCATCCTCGTCATCGTTAAGGGTATCCAATCCGCTCTCCAGGTTGGGTTTTTCGTGTGGTTGGATTGGTTGGGACTTCAGAAAACTAGATAATCCTGAGCTTAAGCCTTGACTTGCTGAGTACAAGGGCTCGGGTGGATGTAATCGTGGCTTCAATGGACTGGCTTCTCCGACCAAGAACTTCCTCGCCTTCGTCCGTGGGGTATCTCGCTTCGATTCGAGTAACAGGTCGGCAAATAGCGCAGGACTGCCCTTCCCACCGCCTGAATCTAGATCGAAGGGGTTTGCACGAAGGTGACTGGGCGTGTTCTTGGTACTAGTGCCAGGTCTACCTTGAGAGTTCCTTAGTCGGTCGTAATGAATTTTCCTTGGTGAATGTTCTTCTACCAACTTTCTGAGCTTGCTTGGAGAATTTGCATGGGCATAAGTTTTGGAAGGGGAGCTGTTATGGTTCTCTTGAGATGGCTTTCTACCACCAGCCTTCGAGCTCTCCGAGCGAGTTTTACTCTTGGGTGTACTCAGAATTTGACGCTGATAGCTATTCGAATGTGATGATGAGGAATTGGGAAGGTCGTCTGATCCCTTGGAGCCCTTACGAGAGGAGTTGTAAGTGGAATACATTTTCGCTGTTGGAAAGGCTGACATCAGTTTCTGATGTGTGACAAACGATTCGTGTGATTCAAGCGCGCACATACCAATCTCTGGGTTTGCTTTGATATCCGCCTTGTTGGGTGCGCGACCTTCGATCGCCTTGAATTGTCGCTCCCATGTCTTGAGTCTAGTCTTGATTTGGGTGAGCTGGGAGGATGAGGAGGGTGTTGAGGCCATGGTGGTATGGTTTGGGTGGTCGCTCTGGCCTGCTTGATGTCGAGTTGGCTGTCTTGAGGCAGAAGCCCAGAGTATGGCCTTGCGGAGTGGCCCTATAACCCCATAGTTGCTCCCTCAGTCAAGCGCACAGTCGCAAGGTTCAAGACAAAAGCTTCCAGTTGGAAAGGGGATTAATCACTCCTCAAATGGTAACTCTTTGTTATGTAACAGTGGGGCTCATGATTGAAACTTATAAATCTTTAGAGCCAATTCCAACACCTTTGTCAACAACATTTTGAAAATTCCATAACTTGGGCGGGTATGGGGGTTTTTGAACAATCCACACAGCTTTTTGATTTTTAAAATAATTGTTGATGGACACCTCAAAATAGGCTTTGGAATTTGATAAATTTCAATTTTGAACCCCACTATTTATTAGAACGTACAATACATAAGTTTGAGCTTTATGTAGCATTAGATCTTCTATTCTAAACCAAGGTTTCCAGACTGATAGGAAGTCCTCCATCTTGGCTGTCCTGATATTCTCCTCTGGAAGAACAATGCTCTTGAGAAAACTCACAATGGATTGTTAAGTCTGATACCATTCAACCATCAACATGGATGATCAAGAAGAACCAACCATTGTATCAATCCAGACCAAAGATTACCATTTACCCATACTAATCAACTGATCCTTCAATAAAGGCCATCAGTTCCTATGAACTTCTATACAAATTCAGACATATTCTGATTCAGAACCCACATGAGGTTACCCCACAATGGTTTCATCATGTGTTGGATTAACAAAGACAAGCAAATAAAAACAGTCTTGATTGGTTGGGTTGCAGAAAACTTTGTGGGAAGTCAAGCACTTAAAGTTCTGTGGTTTTCCAAAATTTCTTCTAGTAGCAAATAAAGATGTAATATCTAATATGAGCCATGTGTTGCTTCCATTGAATTGGCTATTTCCAATGTGACAGGATTTAACATAGAATAATGTCACATAACAGCCACAAATCTGGCTCTTCTTTAGACTAGGGGGGTTTATGATTAAACTTGATGAGATTTTGAATCTAGTTTTGAGGCATTAATACCATCACCAAATTCCCCTCCCCATTTCTGTGCATCAAAATATTAGAAGATCAAACTTATTAATCTACATATAACTGAATAAATGGGCTCAGAGAGCCAAACAAACATGCTTTCTGATGCTGGTGTTGACCTCTGATTTACATTTTTTGACACTGAAATTAGACCATAAAAGGTGCCTAACTCAAGCAATGACAGGTCATTGAGTAAAAATAAATTATCATGCTTGATTCCAAAGGTACCCACTTGGTCTCATGTCAAATTCTGTTGAATCACATGTGGCTCAACTTGGAAAGTAAGATTTCCATTAATCAATTGCATAACTCAACCAGTGACCAAATAATGATTACTCTTAATTTCCCCAGGGGGATAACCATGAAAATGTTGGGATATCCACTATACTAGGATATCAATGTGGTTTTTTTTCAATTTTTAAACCTTTCAGATGCAGTTTTAGTTTTTCTTTTAGTTTTTCTATATTTTCCAGATTTTCAGACTTTTTGGACTTTTTAAGATTTTTTCTGGAAATTTGGAGTTTAAAGCTTCAGTGGAGGACTTCCCGTCGGATCTGGGACCCTCGCAGAAGTCAATCTAGAGCCGAAAACTTTTAATTCTCGCAGGGAGATTTGAATTTCGAGGCTCTAAACCGACTCTGGGAGACCCGCAGATGTTGACGGGAAGTCCTCCAGTGGATGACTTCCCGTCGGCATTTACAACCCTCGAAGAATTGGATTTACACCATGAAGGTCTTAATTTTTGGCAAAAAAATCTTTCTTCAGAAGCCTTGTAGTAAAGGCCCTCATGTGAGCTAGTTGAGTTTGTGATTAGAGTGTTAATTTAGAACTGAGAGAGCTCTAAAAAACACTCTAAACCGCGACGGGAAGTCCTCCAGTAAGCTGTAAATCTAAAGATTCTAAAAATGTAGACAATCTAGAAAATCTGACGGATCTGAAAAAAAAAATAACAAAACTGAAAAAAAAATCATGTTGATATCCTGGATATATTAATATCCCAAATTTTTCCATTAATATCCCTCATGAGGGGATAATAAGCAAAATTTGAAGTAGATTATGCCTAGATTTGATTTTCAACAGAGCCGGGGTCTTCTGGTTCAGGGTGTCAGCCCTAAGGCCACTTGGAGACCAACAATTGCTGGTTAATTGTACTAACAATCTCTCTGAAGGTAATTTACTGGGTTTGGCTTGGCTTTGTACTGAGAAGCTGTTGACAATTTTTGGAGTTTATTGCCTTTGGTTCTTTGATGGTTTGGCTTTGAGAAGTTTGGCCAGGGACTTTGCGGTTTCTGAAGTGATTCAGAATTCGTTGAATTGGTAGAGTGACAGGACTATTTGCCAAATTACAACCAATCAGCAAGCATATCTTTCTCCACTTTCGATCGCGTTTTCGGTCGTCGTAGCAAGATTCACAGCCCCCTCGTAATATTTAAGACGATAACTAAACACCGGCGGACCAAGCTTGATGCTAGAGCAGATTCTGAATACGATTGGACACGCTATCACACATAGTGTGCGGCTGTAGATAAAGAGCCTCCACCCACCCACCCACACACACACACCAAAAATAATTCTAAGAAAGGATATCGAAAGGCTCCCCCCAATGCGGCTCTAAGATCAATCAACGGTTCGTCTTCGAAAGGGTACGTGGGAGCCCAAAATTAGTGCGAAGAAAGCACGGATGGATTGGTGAGAGAAAATGAGCATGTGTTTGATTGTATGTGAGGGTGTGAAGTGAACACCGAACGCTCGACGGGTGCATCGGCCGAGAACAGGCTTACTAAGAACCCAGTTCAGAAGACTCAAGGGGAAAACGAGAGAGAACTATTATTGAGGCAACAGGGAAGGGGGTGGTGGTGTTTGAGTGAGGTCACTGAGATCGACGCCAAATCGAAACAAAGAAGAATGCTTTTTTTTCCACCTGGTTTTTACTCCTCAGGATGGTCGTCAGGCAGCTGGTGGTGGTGAATGGATCCCCTTCAGATGCTGTAGCTCAGTTCTTGGATATCGTCTCGGCCATAATAGGAAAGAATGTGGCTTGCAGTCATCGTCCAGCTGAAGCTGAAACACTCTGGAGTACTCCCAATTCCGGGCTGTTGTATAGGTGCATTGCAAGACAATGACAGTGATGTGATGGCACTATCTTCCACCACCAGCTACCGCTGCACTTTCGAGATACCCCAGGCCGTGCTCGAGCTAGTTCCCTTTGCTTTGTCCTGAGTGTTCCCCGACTGTTGGCTCCTGCTCAAGTCATGGAAAACTAACTCTTGCTGATACTCGTTTTACATCCATTCCCTCCCCACCCATACACGTCTCTGCGCGTCCCATCGATCCAGCCCTCCAGTCGGAGGCGACAATCCAGGGGATACCCACATAAATATATATCATCCAGCTCACCCTACCCAGGAGCACCAGTCATCTCTTTATCTTGAAAGAACTCATTCATTGGGCAGCCCTCCCTCTGCCAAGATTGTATCTCCATCAATATGGCCCGTTATCACCTCATAGTACCACCTCGCCCTCACACTCTTTTGACATGTTTGATTTTCGTGGGCACGCTCGGCCTGCTCTTCTACCTCCCGTTCATCAAGATCCAGGCCAACACCTGCACGCCTACCTTCAGACTGCCCACCCGGCAGACCTTCTTCGCCACCGAGAATGGCCTGATCGTCTTTGCCACGCCGATTCGGAATAACACCAAGATCAAGCATCCTATCGAGAGTCTGATCGCCAATGCTAAGACGGAATGGGACCAAATGCTCCAGAGACAGAGCAAAACTTTGGCGATGGCCGTCCAGGAATATCAGAGGCGCAACAATCAAAGATTACCCCCCAAAGGCTTCGAGAGATGGTGGCAATTCGCTGTCGACAATCAGGTCGGCTTGGTGGATGAATATGACCAAATTTCAAAAGATCTGGAACCATTCTGGGCAATGTAATATCTGTTTGCAGACCCCTGGGTGAATATTGGGACGAAAATTGACAAACAATGTTTTTTTTTTTTTCGTTTCCCCTCGGTTTTGTTGGTTATTTAGTGAGCCCTCAAGGCTAAGGAAACTTTCCAATCAGCTGCAGACAAAACAGAACGATCGAAGGCTAATTTTCCAAGTAGACTCAGAGGGGAAAGTGAACCGGACGGGAGCCTTCGGCGCTTCTGCAAGGGCCAAGGACCTCTCCAATTTGATGGAAAGTTACCAGAAATACAGCGTGAATGCTATGAAGCCTTTCACGATGGTCATTGGGGCCGACGACCAGGCCGAAATCAAGACCACATGGAGAGAGAGATCCAGGCTGCTAGAGCTTTCCAAGCGGCACGAATGTCAGTCGAGCCGGCCCTTGGCTCTTCTCTTCTCCTTCGACCTCGCCCTTGCTCGAGATTAAAGAAGTCACCTGGAGATCTGACGATTTGTGTTTCTACCCCCTTGAATATAATGCAGTCATCGAGGAAGCTGAGGATGTCCAGCTCTCAGAAACCCATTCACCCTATGACGATTGTCCGCCGGACAGTTCTCCTCGAAGTCTGGGCAAAGGCTACAGTAGCTTTGTTTTTGACCACCTGCAATCCATGGACATCTGCTCGAGTCTCGAGCAGGTTCCAATCCATGGCTCTTTGGTCAATCGCCACCATTCCCCCTTCCAACCCATCACACCCCTCTTCTCTTTCTCAAAGACCAGCCTCGACTCAGATATACGCGTCACTCCTTTGGAGCAGTACCAATCTACTTATGTTCGTCCCCTTCTTCTTGAATCCACGCGACTTCCCTTTTCTTCCTAATTTGGTCAATTTTTTTTTTTTTATAACCTTACTTTGGATTTATTTGTGGTTCTTCATCAATAGGGAGATGTTTATGACTGGGATGATCCCCGAAGGATCGGAAAGGCTTTCTGGAGAGGCTCTACGACGGGTTTGTGATTTATAAAAAAGTACTCACCGCGGAAGAAGGACGTGAACAACTCAATTTCTGTTTTTTCTTTTTGCGTTCTGCCGCACTAAAACCTATGAAACTATAGGGGTAAGCAAGTTGAAGGGCTTCGGATAACTGAAGTAATGACATGATTGGAGCAAGAAGAGTTGACACATTTTCATATCTGTTTGCCATCCCCCCAAAAGACTCTTCACAGTAACGAGAACCCGAGCTGGAAAGAATCGCATCGATTGAGGTTGCACCAACTGACCCGACCGGCCAAGGAGCGCAAGCAGTTGATTGACGGCAGCCACGTTGATCTGGCAAAGGTGAACTCGGAGTGGTTCGATATCGAGTTTGTCGGCAAGCCGATCCAGTGCGAGCCTCCCGCCTGTCAGGAGCTCAAGGACATGATCAACTTCCAGGAGTGGGTCGGACAAGAACAGGCCAACCTGTATAAGTATGCACTCGATGGTATGTCTCCATTCCTCTTGTCAGCCTTGATGCTCCCCAATATCTAATATTTTAACATGAATCATGCATTTTGTCCCAAGTTGATGGAAACGGCTGGAGCGGTCGATTCCATAAGCTACTTTCGTCAAATCGAGTAGTTATCAAAGTAAGTCCGACTACCTTATTTAGTTTCAATGGAAGCCTGATCTTTATCCGATCGGCCATGATCGCTTCTCAGAACACGATTTTTCCGGAATGGTATGCGGATAGGATCCAGTTGAGTCCCATTCAGCCACTTCTCCAAGCATTTGGACATTGCGAACAAGAAATGTTGTGCCCTCAGTTCCTAACCTTTGCTTGGATGCTATGGTGTTACAGACCCTGGTATCATTACGTCCCCGTCAAGACGGATTACTCGGAGTGAGTTCCACCAACCAGTCCTGTGAAGCAAAAACAAGTTTTAACTCACCTGAATCTTTCCACCTTTTTTTTCCAAAAAAAAGCCTACACGACATCATTCACTACCTCAAGACACGTGACGATTTAGCAAAGCAAATCGCTCAGAATGGTCTAGACTACAGTCAACGATACTGGAGGACACAAGACATGGTCCGTCGCTGGTCGCATATCCTACCTTTTTTGCTAGTCCACACCTCCTCAATTGTTTTCCCCGGTTTGTTTATAAACAGGCTGCCTACATGTTCCGGTTGTCGTTGGAATGGTCCAGACTCTATAACAGAGAGACTTGCGATCCGAGTATGGAAAACCATCATTGCGAATCACACGACTTCGAGTTGAGTTCTTCATATCAACTTCACATTGCATCACTTTCAGCTTTACTAACTGGGGTTCTTTCCCTGCTTCTCTCTCTATGATACATAGTTTGAACCTGCTGTGACCTTGGCACATTTTTCCCTTCTCAACTTCCTTCTTCCCGCCAACCCACATCCGCATTCTAATTCTCATTCGTCAAACTTAAGGAAAGCAAGATCCCCCAAAAAAGAACAATAAAACATTTCTAGAACTCTTTAATATATGTGGTAAGGGTATTCTTCGTTTTCGAGTCCGAATCCTCGCGTAATCGCGGACACCTCCATCCCCATCGATCTCCCACTAACCCTATCCGAGAGAAGTAATCCTGCGTATAACGATGATGGGCTTGGTTTTCTCTGGACACACCATTCAATATCCATCATCAATAAACTCCATCTTCTTTTCTCTTCAGAAAACCACCTACAAACACCCATACATAGGATACCAAACCACGTCTCACTTCTCATAATATTGTGCAAGGCCAATAGTCTTTCTCTTGTTATCCTCCTCAAGCCAATCCATGTAAACCATTCCTTGTTCTTCCTAATGATGTTGTTGTTCTTTTTTTTTTGGGGGGGGGGATCTCTCTAGTCTTGATAAATCTTCAATGTTTCATTTATCCTCGTTTTTCATAATCACAAGAACATTATTATTTCATCAAATATATATCTATCTATACAAGTCCTTTTGTTTCAGTCTTACCTAGAATTTTTGAAGCATTTTCTTCTAGTCTCTTTCTGTCTTGCTCAACTTTCTAATTTGTTTCTTATTCTCTAGGACTTTTGATTATCTGTTTTGTTGATCCCTCAATAACCACATGACTTGTTCAACCTTTGTGCTGCCTCTTCAATTGATAGATATCCTGATCCAGTCACCCAGACCCATCAGAACAATTTTGCAAAAATGGTTCTGTTGAGCATTTTCCCACTTTTTAGATGGTTCCAAAACAATTTAGAGGAAAAGAAAGTCCCAAATCCTTACTGAATAACTTAGAGCAAGCAATAGAAGAATCATATCCCAGGGCTCATCAATCCTGGTCTTGCTTGAGCACCTCCTTTTCAAAGTCAAGTTCAACCAATACCTGGAGGTCAAGATTGACTAGGCCATTTGAATCTGAAAACAAATCAGTGTATGGGTTGTTCATAGTGGCCAAAAATTGCTGCCAATGGGTGAGAAGTTTACCACTTATGGATGCCTTGTGGTTATCAAGGTTGAGTGGTCAGATTTTGCTTCTGGAGGCACAGAGCTTTCCTGAAAACATGAATATGTACTGTCTTGCTCATCAGCAATGGGCTGGTGGTAACAGGGACCCTCTAAAGGAGGGATTTATGCGCTAAGTCAACCTTGTGGCATGAGGCAATTTGGAAACTGGCATGCTTGAATATTTTTTTAGCATTGCAATTTGCCATATCAATTGGCTTGATTACACTTCGGGGAGACAAACAATGTACAAGATCGAGGAGCATCTTGAGAAAACTGAGACTGTTTATTTCTAAAGACCAAAGAACCAGATACTAGAAAGAACAAAGTTAGAAGAGAGAAAGCAGAATAATAGATAAGAAGACTTGAAACTAACCCCGAAGTGGATAAACTTTTATCCAAGACAGACAACAAGGATTTTAAGAAGAGAGAGACAGCAGTGACTGATAGAATAATAAAAAGGATTAGTTGATTGGACAATGATTGAATATAGAAAGAGAAACAAACCCTATTGATTTAGGTGTGTTGAGTGTTAAGTATAGAAGAAAGAAATAAACACCAATATCTAGAAGAAGACAACTAAGAGAGTTTGAAAGAAAGAGAGTTAGTTATGATCAGAATAAAAAGAGAAGAGATAAGAGAGAGAATATAAAAATAAGAAATGCTCAAAGTGCATTTCTCACCAAGTTGGAAGCTACAAAGGCTGTTCAATGTTAAAGCTTCGCCGTGACTTGTAGACGGTCGAGATTGAGTTGATTTGTCTTGATCTAGAGCGTTGTTGAGCGGTGAGCGGTGAGCAGTGATTTGAGCGGTGAGCGGTGATCGATGAATGTGAGTGAGATCAATGAGGAAGGGGAAAAGAGAGGAAGAAGCGGTTGGTCACGAAGATGGAAGAGCAACCGTGTACTGGAGTTAGGTTTGATTTAATGACAGTCTTTGTTTCACAGGAGTGTCACAAGTTTCTGTGTCACAACTGTTAACTTGGACTCAAGTTTCAACACATCTTTGCATGGATTCCTCATTATTGGGGGGCCTTGATCAGTGACCCTCAGCTCCCTTTTTTTGGCTGCTCACATTTTCCCCACCAGATCTGTCATTGCACACTGTGCACTGTACAGAATCAACAACATGCGTTGTTCCAACCAGCAGTGTGAATCCAGGAAATCGGCCGAGGATTGTTAGGAAATGTACAAAGATGGAGGAGGCTTTGGCTGTCATAAAAATCTAAACCGAAATAAATTTCTTCCACAGGTGATTCAGTAAGGTTTGTTTCAAAAAGATTCCCCGCCAAAAATTGTAACTCTCTAGGGCTGTGGGGGAAACATAGCCCAATCAGTCCCTCCCTCCAGTAGTTGGTGCAATGCAATCATTGGTTTACAACTCTACAGTAGGAGGGAGGTACTTAGTTGAGTGGTCATCCCCTTTGACACTGGGTTCCAGTCACCCTGTTGGCCAATGATCCTCTGCTGGAATTCAACCTCTTCAACAAGCTCACTTCCATACCACCAGGCCCAATCAACACCAGTGCAATGATCTCACCCAATAGTCTCCAACCATCATTGGACAAGATCACTGAACATCTCCCTGTTACAATCTTATTTCCAACTGGGCACCAATGATCTCTCTGCAAAGGTAAAAAAAACCTTCATTGTAATTTTTTTTCTCTCTCTCTTGGGTTTTCTTCTGTAATCATTCCTCAAAAGACCTCAAAACTCCCCCCCCCATTTTTTTTCATCCCTTTTGAAAAAACTTGGGCCTTGTTTGGATGCATTGTTATACATCATAAGTTTTCAAGTTCAGCACCAAATTACATGATGTACATAGATCAACATAAATTCATATAACACAATCCTCCACTAAACTTTAAATTTTATGCCTTATACAGGTGTTGTCCAAATGGCCCTTAAAAAACCAGACATTCAATATTTTTTTCTACATTTTTTCACTGTGGAATGAACTTGTATCAACTGGACATTCAGTGTCCTCGACCCTCATTGTCTCGCCCACCCTTTTTCTGTCCACCCACTGCACACGGACTGCCCTATTTCATTTGCACAGACCGCTTCTTCAAGCTGACATGAGTAAAAAATTGGCTATGCTTAAACAGGCATGTCTGGTGTGACTTTTGATTACACACATGCATGCCATAATCTAACAACCATGTATTTTTCATATAAATACAAAACCAAAGTACACCATAATACACAAACAAGACAAGGAAAGAGATTGCTAGCAGAGGGTAAACATGTGTGTGTATGCATTCAAGGGCGTCCAGAAACGGTGACCGAGCTACTCCTGCGGGGTTGTTCAGAAGAGAAGAGGAGACAGGGGCCAGAGGAGGGTAGTCGATCAGTGACGAGTGTATTGTTGGAGTCGTTGCCCAAGTCGAGAGGATAATGGCTCTGATGTCGTTGATGATGATCGTAGTTTGGCTTGACAGTTGAGATGGGAAGGAGAGATGTGGAGGAACATCTGGAGTGAATGATGTTGGCAATGGAGTGTTAATTATTCTACTATCCTTCTTTTCTGAGTATATTGGCGGTAGTCAGTAGTAGGATAAAATGATGGAGCTTACTCGCATCCACAGCCAGTCGGACAACATCCCTGACCGGCCCACCATTGCGACATGCACTCAAGATGGCCTACAAACAAAGAAACCCGATGAAACATCGCGCTCGATTAACATTTCCAAAAGTGTACCCAAAATAGAGGAGGAAAGAGAGAGGCTTACCACCATGGAAACAGCTAACACAGTCGCGGGCTAAGCCGACGACCGGTCGATGACAGATCACACACAACGAAACCGGGCGTGCCCGGTGACATGTCGGACAAGATGACGATGATGATAAGGAGGATCGGTTAGTCAGGGGAAGAGGGGATCCACAAGAGGGACACAGAAGAACCAATTCGACTCCTGTTTTTTACAAGTCGGCGTATGGAGGGGCCGTCAGTCACTAATCTCGCGTGAGCAAACAACACACACACACACTCTCTCGAAAGGAATAGGAGGCAGTTCTGAAAATAAAACAACAACTGACCACATTGGCTCGGTTGCTCGAGTCCAGACAACAGCCGTGCCCGTTCCGAAAACACCGGGTTAATCGTTGCTCGTTCTCCTTCGCCATCTGGCGGGACTCTCAGCAACTTAACGACCATGGCCCGCTCGATCACCTTACCCCTCCTCATCAACAGGTCACAGAGATAATGCTTGTAGCCCTCCATTTCCGCCTGCAGAGTCGGATTATCATCGATCGACCTATAACCCACACACCTAAATAAGCTTTGCGGTAGCAGCTCTTCCATAAGTCGGCGAACGTACAAAGGTTCTTCGTCAGGAGGAGGTTGGATTTTCTTGACAACGATCATCTGCCGTTTACGGTGAGTGTTGGAGGTCGGCTTAACAGGAAAGATGTGAGGGCTTCTAGGGTTGAAATTTCTTGCATCGTTGTTGTTGAGATAATCGAGGCGAGACCTAGCCGAGTCCCGCTTTGTAGCATTAGAATGGCTGTCGGAGGATTGGTGAAGAGGGGGTAGAGAATTAGTGCTCCCAGCCAACTGTTGTTTGAGCATAGCAACGGCCCGATCGGGGGAAGGAGTGGTGTTACTACAATAAGCGTGCGTGTTGGACGAGTTTGAGCCCCGACCGGCGCTAGGTCCGCTCGGGTTTGAGAGGCTTGTACCCTGGGTCAGGGAGAGGAAGAAAGTACTCCACGAGCCAGCTTTGGAAGGAGATTGAGAAGCTTCGGCAGCAGCTGGGAGATCGGGAGTCTGCAGTAGCACGGAGCTCTGCGAGCTCGGCTTGGGGGCTGATCGATGGGCGCTGAGGACTCCTTTAGAGTTAAAGTAATCTGTCGTCGGTGCCGGGCGTTCATCGGCGGTTTTAAGCCGATTATCCTCAAATCGTCTTTCCCTCTGCTTCCCACACACTTCAACAAACGGGTCAGTCGATTAATGATTTACCTCTCATCATTTTCGCGCGTCCTCTCACCTCTTCTATTCAGCTCCATCACACAAGCGATATAACCTAACGTTTCCAAATCATGAATACCACGCAGATACTTCAAGCTGAGAGAGCAAAAAAAGTAAGACTCGAAAATTAGCAGGAAGGACAACATTGAATCAATCAACAGATTACAGACCCACATCTCCAACAACACTGCATAATTTTCTGGCCGACAATCTTCCTTAGGGGCACGCTCCCTCAAGCTGAGAATGAAGATACGGACTAAGACCCAAGTACGATAGCGAACGGGATCATCGACGCTGGATGTGAGGTTCAAGAGACTATCGATGACCACGATTGGATCCTGACTCTCCAAATTTGGGATCGGTAGGGGCCTCAACATGGATAGTGATCGAACAGTGACCATGGTGGAGATCTCTCGGGCTGGAAGCGGGCCTGGAGATGAGACTAGATCGGATTGCTAACACAATCAAAAGTTAGAAAGTTTTCCCCCACTTAGAAGGTTGATCAATAGTGAATAACCCACCATTCGTATCCGACGAGACATGGGTAATTTCAAGGCCTCATCTGATTCAGAGGATTCCTCGTCCAAATCCGCTCGTGAGCCACCTCGGTTGTTCCTAGTGATCGGAGTAACTGCAAGACTACCAAAGGCTTCAAACTTATAGTTCCGTTTAGGGAATGCCATCGTGATTTTAGGACTGGGAACGGTCCGGAAATCGCCACAATAAAAAATGATAAGACGACCTGTTCAAAATATCAAAAAGAATCATTCATATTTCATTCCTTTAATCACAATGTTGTCAGTAGAGGAACAAAAAGGAGGTGCAAACCTTCGGATGTAAAGCACGCTCCAGCTTGACGTGGCGACGGAACACTGACATTATTTTGAAGGACATCCGGACGCATACCGGGGGTAGGCTCACGCATCTCCTCATCAGAGTCGACGAAACGGTCGACTTTGGCGGCCTCGAGAGCGGCCGAGCGATCACCCAGAAGGAATCTGAGACATGACTCGAAGGCGGCCGGTTTGCAGTTATGGACGTGATCGCGCATGAGTTCCCGAGCCGATTTGAGCAGGAAGGCCCGGGTGCGAGCGCTGACATCTGAGCTGCGTTCGATTTCGATCGATGGGGGCTTGAGCTCGGGGTAGTACTTTGGGAACGAGAACATGATCCGTAGGAATGCAATCCCTCCCCGAGCAGCCCATGGCCCATAGAGCCCAACCGAACAAGTTCGACTCTGGACGGCGATCTGTTCAAAGGTGATTCGGGGAAAGTTGCGCTGGGCAGCGGTGAGCTCTTCGCCCAAGGTTTGGGGCTCAGTGTAGTGTGGGGTCGGTTGTGAATCGTCGACAGAGACCTGGGTATGTCGGTCTTGTGAGAGAGATCGGGTGAGCTGGGAGAGTCCGATAGCTGAGCTACTACGGATGGGAGCGGTACGAGGGCACTCATTGGCCGCCGGGCGATAAAGCTTGACGCCTTCCATCCATGTCAGTCGATGGCTGGGCGTGTTGAGTGGGCCGGCAGTAGTTTGAGTAGTCATATACCCTGGATGGCGATTGATACGATCTTGGACGACCAAGCTGCGAGAATGACGGACATGATCGCCCGGTCCGGCTGCTTTCGAGGTCTGGTTGGTGGTGGGGCGATGAGGACGCGGTGAGGCAGGATGATGTGATTGAATAGTGCGAGCAGCAAGTGAGGATGATGTGTATGAGGAGGCATGACTGGCTCTACCGGACCTGAAGGGAGATATGGACATTGAGGAAGGACTGGGAACAAAGGGTACGACAAGGCTGGATTGGCGGAAACTGCGATTAGCCGAGGTCGCTTTCCTGGTCACTCTGACATCGATCGGTGCACCCGGCTTGAAGCCCGCCTTCTTTAATGTTTCGGTACTGATTGGCCAGAGCCTCAGCTTTCGGTCGTTGCCCCAGGTGACCAGCTGAAACTGACGATCATCGAAGTTTGAGTTGGCACCTCCACGTGTTCTCCAAACAAATTCCCGGACTGTGTCCTGATGACCCGAGAAGCTTGCAATTGGAGTCGAAGGTTGATCGGCTGACCACATCTTAAGCACATGATCGGAGCGTTGTGGTAAGGTCATAACACCATGTCCAAATGGCAAGTGACGTGCCCTTCGGACGGGAGAAGAAGTTTGGATGGTTTTTGTAGGATGATGAATCGAATTGGTAGACCAGAACTGGAGCGAGAGAATAGGGGTTTTTAGACATATCTGATCGGATGATCAGCTCAGGTGAATAGAGGAGGACAGATACCTTGACAGTCTTGTCTAAACTGCAAGTGACCAAACCATCAGAAGATCGACGCGACCAATCGATCCCGTAGATCTTCTCATTATGGGCATTGATTTGAAGGATAGGCTCGGCAGGGTTCTAAAATGAGATGACTTTAATACGATGAAGGTTGAAATCGTGGGAAGATAGTAAGGCGAGACAAACGCGAGTATCCCAGACCAAGACTCGCGAGTCGTGAGAGGTAGCAAGGAGATGTGGGTCTTGTCTGTTCCACTTGACTTGTGTTGCGGGTGCTGATGAAGGGAGAGATAAGTTTGAGTTTGGGATGATAATTAGTTGAGCTGATTTGACTTACAGTTCCAAGCACAGAAACCTTGGACAGCGGTTTTACCACCGATACGTAGGTCGAAGGCGTAAGTCCAAGAGTCGATTGCGCAGGTAGCCAGGACATCGACGTTACTGATTTCCTCGAGATGGATTAGCATCTTTCTTACAAGCTAGGTATGACTCCAGGGTGGTGTGACTTACAAGACCGACCAATTAATATCACATCTAGTGATTGGGCTGGATTGATCAGTCTCCTTTCCTTCTTCTTTCTTCCTCTGAGGCCTTGCTATAGTTGACTTACGTACATTGCTCGAGTGTGTGCTTCGAGTACGAATTGGATTGGAGATTGGATGGTCCTTAGCGGTTGTGAGCTTGCGTCTAGTGTTGATGGAGAGGGTAGGTCAAGGTTCCAGATCAAAGCTTTCTGAGATGACTGTTGTGAAGATATAGGAATAAAGAATTAGATCTAAATATTGAGTTGTGGTGTGGAGATATCCGAATCATCTCACCGTTGATGCTACCCAACTCCTTCGCTCTGGATGTGGTGACCATTGTATGTCTGCTACGTCCCAGGTTGCAGAGTGAGCCAAGAATCTTGGTGGGTCGTATGGATGGTGGAGATCGACGATGAAGAGACCCTTTCGACTGAAGCATTAGATGTTTGAGTTCCTTGGTAGGATGATGAATTGATATATTTTAAGTTGTCGACTTACGCTCCTAGTACGATGTCTCGATTCTCTGGGCTGTGGTTTGAATATTGGAAGTCAGTTTTGAATATCGAGATGATGGAGTGGATTGATTGCAGATGTGGACATACCTCATACTGAGACATCCTACTGGCTGATCGAGTGCTAGTTCGAGTGTTTGGTAGAACGTATCCTCTGTCATTTTCTGGTGATTGCTGTGAACTCAAGCAGTGTCCAGACAACAAGCTCATTGCATCACCACCGGGGGGGGGAGTGTGGTACACCCCGTGGAGAGGAGCCAAACCCAGGGTTCTGATCCGGTGCCCCGGAGCTGGATTTCACCGAACCCTGACCCGGAAACGATCAGGCCCTGAGCCGGGGTTTGCCGGACCTTTGGCAAAATTTAAGAACAAGTTCCCAGGGAGAGTCAGGACACTTGTGGGGCCGTACAACAGCACTCAAGGGAGCCACCGCAGTTTACATGCAGCACACATCTTGCCACTACATCATGCCAACTCAACAACAATCCCAGTGTTCCCCCTCAAAGACACCCAGTATTGATGATTCATCTGAATCCAACCCTGACAAAGTCACCATAATTGAAACTAGTGGCCCGTCTGCTGCTCAAAAGACCAAGATGTCAACTCAAGATAAGCAAAGCTCATGGGTATGGCAAAACTTCCAGACCCAGGCCATTGATGGTAAAAAGTGGAATGTTTGTCAGGCCTCAGTTGTTCCTAATGTGACTGTGATTTGCAAAAAAAAAAAAAAATCTCCCCAGACTACCAAGGATCTATGGAAACTATGAGCAATCACCTACTCAATCTGCACAGTCTCAAGAAAGATAACACATGTGCAGTAGGATCTCTAGTAGGGTTCATTGATAAGAATAAAGAAGTCTCAATGGCAAAGCTTACTTGGTAAAGCTTGCTGTGCATTGTTGGTTGATATGTTGCCCAATGCCACCTCTCTTACCAAACAATTGACCACCCACCATTCAGAAAGATGCTGGAGTTATGCAACCCAATTTCAAAAAGCCTTTTCCCCTTGGCTCACACATTGAGTAAATTCACCTTAACAACCTTCATGGATGTCAGAAGACTTTGAAATCTTTGATTCAAGAAATTCCCTCAAAAATTAGCTTGAATTGTGATGGTTGGACCTCACCAAACAACAAATTTCTTCTCAGAATGACAGCACACTGGATTGAAAGCTATGATCTCAAACCTATGATTTTGGAAACAGAGTTGATGTTGGTATGGTGAATCCTGTATGTAGTACTCAATGCTTGTACATAGTTATGCTTATATCAAGCTGTCCATTAATACTGAACACCGGAATCCCTCTCAGTACTTTCTTCCTCCCTGAATAAACAAATTAGTTTCTCATGGTCAAGTCCCACAAATGAGTCTCAACTTCAGTCATAGTTTTGGTCCCTGTGCCCCTCAACAGTTGATTGATGGCCCCCATCAAAGGTGGGCCACTACCCTGCCTTTTGTTAGAGATGGTCAAAGGGTATCCGTTGCGGATACCCGCTATCCGCTGGCGGATACCTGCCGGTACCAACGGATACCCGCCAGGGGGTGTGGATTTGGGTGCGGATGGCCCCTTTCCCCCAAATCCTGGCAGATATACGGGCATCCCCAGGGATACCTGGTCATAGCCGCCCCACTTGTCTGCTGGGATATACTCATGTCCTTGTCGGCGGCCAATACACCAACAGCCTCATCCTCATCCGAACCAACAACACCCACTGCGGCCTGGAAGAAACCACAAAGAGGATTTCTTGGGAGGTAAGTCCTCCCAGCCACCACCCCCTTCACCTGCAAAAAACCACCAACTCCCACCAATCCTTTGGTCGGCCAACAGACACCGACCGCTTGTCCCACCCAATTTCTGGAGCCTCCGTTGTTGTTGTTGTTGCTCATGGCGTTGGAGGTTTTTTAGGCTTGGTTGCTCATCATCTCGGCCGGCCTCCTTGTCTGTCTCAGAACAACCATGACCGATCACGAGTTGCACAGCCCCCCCTCCCTCTGTCGACTTGCCGCTTCTCCCCTCTGTTGCCGATTCCCCCCTCCACTGCCCCTGGGCCTAATTTTTTGGCCTCCAACCTGCCTTCCAGGCTTTTTGACCAGGGTGAGTCCACATCTTTTCCCCTCAGTGTTACTAATGAAAACTGACCTGTTCCCTTGTCAATTTTTTTATTTAGCCCTCCCTCCTGGGCCTAATTTTTTGGCCTCCAACCGGTCATTTATGGGGTGGATATCCGCAGATATCTGCGCAGATACCCGCCAGCGCCAGCAGATGCGGATGTCTGATTGCGCTGAAATTGTCAGCAGATATCTGGATTTGTACGGGCCATCTCTACCTTTTGTCCAAAAAGTGTTGTCCTAGCATTTGTTTTGTGCAGAAACTGTGTAGTATTAGTTTGTTTGTGCTACACTATCACTACAGACCGCTAATGGCCACCATTTTCCCCATTCTGGAATTAAGTTAGTGTCTCATCTCACTGAAGTCCTTCAAAAATATGGAATAGCAAGAATGATCATCTGCATGATGGCTGATACCGTATCAAACAATGGAAAAATGGCAGCAGAACTCAATAGCCTCATTGAATTTGATTCTGGAAATTGCATGCTCAGAAGTATGCTGCGTGTCATAAGCTTGGAATTAAAACCTTCTTTGAATTCTTACCTCCAGGAATGTCAGCCACAGAGTACATCACCACTTCACAGTACATTTCATGTACCAAGTAACTGCAACACCTGTACATATCCATAATGTTGTTTACCTTTACCTCTTGTTATCTTATCATTATTCTTATCTTGTTATACTTTAACTCATTATATGAAATCAAAATACTTTCTTATCTTTTAATTACTTATCAATTATATACATATCTGTTTTATACATAAGTAATTATCACTTCCCTTTCCCTCCTTTATCCGTGAAATACCTGTACCACAAGTGTTTAACAGTATTTTCACGGTCAAATATCATTACAAATAAACATGTACTGGTATTGAATGTTACTTATTAATTGTTAATAGAATTAATTCATTCAATACATGTACAGTGGATGAACCGTCATTTTTGGCTGCTTGTTTTGGATTCCAGAGCTTCAAAGCACAAACTTGAAGTCACAAGAATTGGTGAAGTGGTGCAGAATAGGTCCCAAAGAATGAATATTAAAAATAAAAACAAAAAACAAAGTTTCAAAATCTGTGAAAAATAAAAAATAAAAATGTTTTTTGCAAAAGCTTTGATATTCCTTTTGGGGGATGTTGAGATCTGATGTCTCTCCCTCTAAACTCTAGCAGTGTTTTTACCAATAAAGACTCGGTTATGTAATCAGTTGCTTTGGGAATGACATCATCCAAACATCCCAGCGCATCGTACTTATATCTCAGTCCCTTTCTTTGAAATCTCTTTCTTCCCTCCTCATGACTCTAGAAACCTAAATCATTATTTCCTCATCATAAGGTTACATTTTCTCTTAAACTGGTCTCATTGCTGTTGTTCTCTCCTCTTCATATCGAACAACTTCTACTGTCTTAATACTATCATCACTTTCCTCAACTTCAAATCATCTTCCTTCTTATTGTGAACATTTTCCCTTCTACTCGACACTCTGCCGACTCACATACTCTTGCAGCATCGCATTGAATGCTTTCCCTTCCACTCAACATTCCACCAACTCACGTGCCCTTGCAGCTGTCAAATGATCTTCCCATCATCGTAGGTTCTGATCTTGTCTTGGACCTTTCTCGATTGGATCACATTCTCATCTGACATTCTTTTATCATTAGTTGTGCTATTGTGTTTTTCTTTCCTTGTCGTTGTCGCGTCTCTTATTGAACACTTCTCCTGCCTTAAGGTACCTTTCATTTTTCTTTCTTTTCATTTCCATTTATATTGTATTTCTTATTACTGTACTGATTCAGAAATACAATCCTTAAGTTTGATACTTAACAGGGGAGTGGGAGCGCTGGAAGAAAGAAAGAATGGAAAATGGGAAGAATGATTATAAATGAAAAAAATTGGAACCGAAAAAGATTTGGCCAGGTTGGTTGTCCATATTGGAGCCCAAACAGTAAATTCTGGTGTTTTATTTTAATGCGGGCTGGTGAATTCCCCACTCAACAGCTGTTTGAAGCCATCTGGAAGCCAATTTTTGTGAAATTTTCATTTATAATCATTCTTCTAATATCCCAATATTCCTTTCTCTCAGCACTCTCTGCAATCCCCCAAAGGGCCAAAGTGTATTTCAAAGCTTTTGAGAAAAATAAATTTCATTTTTTATTTTTCAAAAATTTTGCAACTTTGTTTTTTGTTTTTATTCTTTCACATTAATTTTTTAGAACCTATTCTGCACCACTTGACCAAGTATCATGACTTCAAGTCTGTATTTTGGAGCTCTTGAATCCAAAATAAGCAGCCACTTTTTCACTATCTACCCACTGTTAGAGATGGTCGCGGATAATCCGCTGCGGATATCCGCTATCCGCTGGCGGATACCCGCCAGTGCCAGCGGATACCCGCCAGCGGGTGCGGATGCACCCTTCCCCCTGAAATACTGGCGGGTATCCGGGTATCCCTTGGGATACTCGGTGCCAAGAGGCCACACCGCCGGGAGGAATCCCTCCCGGCAAGCTGTTTTTAAACCAGCTC